CCACATCTGGGTATTAACTACACAAGTATTACATCTGGGTATTAACTACACAAGTATTACATCTGGGTATTAACTACACAAGTATTACATCTGGGTGTTAACTACACAGGTATTACATCTGGGTGTTAACTATACAGGTATTACATTTGTATTATATTTAAATCACTGTAGTGTTGTCTCATGTCTGTGTATTTAAAACGTTGTAGTGTTGTCTTATGTCTGTGTATTTAAAACGTTGTAGTGTTGTCTCATGTCTGTGTATTTATAACGTCGCACTGTTGTCTCATGTCTGTGTATTTATAACGTTGTACTGGTTTTATTATCATGTGTCATTTGCTCGAGGAAGGTTGACTGTCATGGAGTTGCATTGCTCTCTTTCCACCATTCTAACACAATAAATATGTGAAGTTCTCATCCAATCTTTGATGTTATCCATCCACATATTTCTTGGTTTGCCTCTTCTTCTTTTCTCATTCATTTTTCTTTCCAGCAAGTCTTTTCATTCCATTGTTTCTAATTATATGTCCAAAGTACTAACATTTTCTTTTCTTGATAATTGTGTTCTTTTAGTTTTCATTATTTCTAATACTTGTTCATTTGTCTTATGTTCTGTCCAAGATATTTTTGGGACTCTCCTATAGATCCACATTTCAAATGCCCCAATCTTTTTAGCAATCGCTTAAGATATTGTCCACGTTTCAGCACAATATAGTAGGGTTGAACACACATAGCATTTGACTAGTCTCATCCCTGTTGTTATGTTAATGTTTCTTGATGTTAATATTTTCGACATGTTGTTAAATTCCCTCCTAGCTATTTCTATTCTTCTTTGAATTTCCGCTTCACTCTTACCATCTTCAGTGTTCATGTGTCCTAAATATATAAAATTTTTGATCTGTTCAATTGATGTTGATAGTTAAATTGATTCTAGGTTCATCTGGACTCTCAGTTACTACCATTGATTTGGTATTTTTAGTATTCATCTCCATTCCATAGTATTTTCCTTTTTCGTTTACCAACTCTTACAGATCTGATACATTTAGAGTTAATAGTGCTGTGTCATATGCATATCTTAGGTTGTTGATGTTAATTCCACCCACTGCTACTTCCTTTATACGTTATATTTTTCTAAATATTTTTTATGTGTATAGGTTTGACAAACTAGACTATAATACACACCCTTGTCTTACGCCTTTCCTCATCATAAAATCTGGGGTTACTCCCTGTTCTGTACTTATTACTGCTTTTATTCCCAATATATCTTTATGACCTGGAGATCTTTCTCATCAATTCCTATCTCCCATAAGCCTGCTATTATCTTTAAGTGTTTTACCCTATCAAAAGTCTTAGTGAAGTATACATATATATACATTTTGTTGTACCTCTATTGCACGTTCACAGATTGTTCTCAGATTAAACATACCTTCCCTTGTGCCACATCCTGGTTCGAATCCACTCTGTAAGTTGCTTACTTCTTGGTCTATTTTGGTTGCTATTCAATGCTGTATTACTTTTAATAGTAGTTTGGCGATTGTTCTGAAGTCTGTGCTTTGGGTTTTTTTGGTAGTGGAAAAAGTATAGATTGTTTCATTTCGGTTGGTATGTATCCAGTGTTATAATATTAAGGTTGTAATTATCGAATTATTTCAACATTTCTTCTGACAAATCGTCTGGTCCAGTTGCCTTTCCATTTTCCATTAAGTTTATGACTTTCTGTACTTCATCTTTAAAGATGGTTTGACCAGTTGTTGCTGGAATTGGTCTGGAATTGGTTCTCTATTATCATCATAAAGTTTTGTTATGTATTCTACCCATCTTTCTGAAATATCTTGTTGATCAAATTCTCAATCTTGACTTTGTGCATCCACTGTCTTTTCTTATGTTGTTCTTTACATTACTCAGTTCTTTGCATTTCTTTGGATCTATGTAGACTTTCAAGTTTCTCTAGTCTCCTGACATTGGTCTTTCAGCCAGTTTTATTTCGCTTTTCTGCATTCAGTTGTTATTTCTTTATTTATTGCTTCATATCTGTCAGTGTTTTTATTTTAATTTCTTAATTCCATCTTCTTCAGTATCTCACCAATCATCCATTTGCTTTTCTTTTTCTTGTTTTTAATGAGAAATATTACTTTGAGTGATGTTTTTATATTGTTCTTAATTGTATTCCATCTTCTTGTTGCCATATCTTTATCATCCATTGTGTAATCTGATTGCTGTTCTAGTTCTTGTATGTACAATAGCTTAAAATCATGTTTTATTAAAACATTGTATGCTATCTTATAGTTATAACATTTTAATGGGTCAACATATAATTGTTCTTTTAGTTGAGTTTTTTTATATTTTCTTTAGCTTGGTTTTCACTTTCATTACCACTGGATTATGATCAGAGTTGACACAAGCTCCTGAGCATCTCTTTTCTAATTTCAGTTCCGAAGTCTTTGATTTATCAGTATATAATCGACTTGGTTTCGTGTGAAGCCATCTGGGCTTTTCCATGTATAAAACTTTCTTGTTGGCTGATGGAAGAAAGTGTTGGTAATTATCGGGTTATTTTGTTGGCAGAATTGTATTAGCCTTTCTCCCCTTTCATTCTTATTTCCTAGCCCAAGATTTCCAACTATGTTGGTAAAAACTTCTGTCCCAACTGTTGCATTTAGATATCCCATAACTCGTATGACATCACCTGATTTGACATATTTCATATCATTCTGTATTTGTTCATGAAATTGTTCAATTTGATCATAATCATGATCTTGTGTGGGTGCATATACTGTATTATGTTGATGTTAAATGTTTTTCCTTGTAGTTTTATCATGATTACTCTTTCTGATATAGCCCTAAAACCAGTCATTGCTTTACTTACATACTTCTTTAGTATGATGCCTACTCCATACTTATGTCTTCACCTGAATACACTATGATGTGATCTTCCTTGATGATCTTTCCACTGTCAATCCATCTGGTTTCCACTAATCCTAGTATATGTAGGTTAATATTATTCATTTATTGTATTACACTGTCTAATTTATCATCTTGAAAAATAATTTTTACATTCCAGGTTCTAAACAGTAAGAGCCTATCTCTGATTTTTAGATGAACATTATCATATAGTATCTCACGCCTGTATATCAGTAACTGTGTTTTGATAACATTGTATCTACGTCATGTTTGCGCTAATTACATTGTACTACTTTCCTGTTTGTTTATTACTAACGTTGTATAGATGTCACGTCTCCGTATTAATAACGCTGTACAGGTGTCACGTCTCCGTATTAATAACGCTATACAGATGGATATCCATTGAAAGGTTATTAATACGGAGACGTGACACCTGTACAGCGTTATAATACGGAGACGTGACACCTGTACAGCGTTATTAATACGGAGACGTGACACCTGTACAGCGTTATTAATACGGAGACGTGACACCTGTACAGCGTTATTAATACGGAGACGTGACACCTGTACAGCGTTATTAATACGGAGACGTGACACCTGTACAGCGTTATTAATACGGAGACGTGACAAACGTTATTAAAACACAGACATATCAATAAAACGTTATTAAAACACAGACGTATAGGTATCATGTTGGTGTATATAACTTTTATGCAGGTTTCAGAACTGTATTATTGATGTTGTACTTGATGTCTGTGTATTACTAACGTTGTACTTATGATTTCTGTGTATTAATGTTATTCTTGGTGTCACATTTCTATGTATTAATAACTTTGTACTGATGTCACATTTTTTGTATTAATAACTGCACACTTCATGTCTGTGTATTAATGAAGTTGTATCGTTTCGTATCTGTGTATTAATGATGTTAAGAAGGATATGTATGACCTATTGCAGTATTATTTGTGTGTAGAAGTTTCTCTTAGATCACTTTATTAACAAATGATTTTTGTTTGTTCTAGGTGATCGTAGAGCGGTACCACAAAGAATCGAATCTTCCTGTTTTAGATAAAACCAAATTTTTAGTTCCACTAGAGCTTACAATGTCACAGCTCGTAACAATTATCAGGTAGTTTCATTTTTTGTCCTGAAACAGTATTATCCGATTAAACTATATGTACTAGGTGTGGCCAAGAAAGTGTTTGAATATTTGATTAGCTCATGATTAGTCTGTACATCTGTCTCAGAGTTTCCTGATGAAACCACATAGAAAAAGTAATATTATCAGGTAAACACCAGACATATGTACAAGAGTATTGCGTTTATCTGATGGTGTCAACACTATCAGGTAAACACCAGACATAAGCGACACTATCAGGTAAACGCAATATTCATGTGACTTTATCAAGTATTTACGACTAGGGCAACATTATCAGATAAAATATACGAAACATAGGTGTCATATGAAGTGAATGCGAGACACTGAAGTATTATATCCGTAGCTTGTTGAGACGTTTCACGAGTAATTTATCTTCTTTTAATTTATTTGTGTAGAATTTTTGTTTTTTCTTTAATGTACCTTGAAACCTGATTTATCTACATTTTAAAAACGCAACCAATCTCTCTGTTCTCTTGCCTTTCTTTCTTCAGTGTTTTTAAGTGACAACTCATTTTTTTCTACTTAACGTATAGGGAGGGGATAGATTACTCAGTGCTTCGTACACTATACAATGGGTATCTTTAAGGATCCAACCCCTATGTTATGTATGAAGTGAAGGAGTAAAAAAAAATCAATACACGTATTAAATTTTATTACACACTTTCAAAGAATACACTATCTTGCAGTTAGGGGCGTCAAAAACAAGTAATACAAACATTTTATAAATATAAAATGGTGTAGGGATGGCAGTGACAAAAATAATACAAACAAGAATATAGGGATAATACAGCTATACATAGATCATTCCTACGTGACTTTCAATATTAAAATTTAATGTTACACTGTAAAATGAATACATGACTTTAGTATTACTGCAGTTGGAAGTTATATATTCCATGTCATGGTAGGCATCAAGGAAAACCAAGTCGAGTCAAAACATTATTACAGACTCTCGCTACGACCTCGTAACTATTTTGTGCTTGTGCATTTTACAGTGTAACATTAAATTTTAATATTGAAAGTCATGTAGGAATGATCTATGTATAGCTGTATCATCCCTATATTCTTGTTTGCACTCTTTTTGTCACTGCCATCCCTACACCATTTTATATTTATATATTTCTTATTACTTGTTCTATACATTTTGCCGCACACTACTACCCATTAGCTCAGAAAGCAATGAATGCTACTTACTTTCAATCATTAGTACCTGGAACTAATTGTCTTCCTTGCTGATAATCAAGTGGAAATCATATGTTAAAGATCTAGTACGAAATTCCTCTCGTTTGAAAAAGATAGAAATGGCACAATAATTCGTTAGGCTAATGTGCTAAAAATATTTGACCATTTTGTTTGAAATATCTCACAGTTAACCCTAATCTCTTTCAGAGAAAAAACAAACTTGGAAGCCTCTAATCTAAAAATGTCTGTCCTGGGTGTCTTTACAGCTCCAGTATAGGTTTGAACCGTGTTTTATGTCAAGGGATATGAAGTGGAGTCATAAAGTAGATCCTAGGCATAAGCACCACCTCACTAAGCAGTTTGTAAACAGTTCAATATCATAGTAGGTTTGAGAACTTTAATGGACTGCAACTGTCTGGTGAAAGGAAAGAAGACAACGTTTCGGCTTCTACATTGAGGCCTTCTTCAAACTTGAAGGAGACCTCAGTATAAAAATCGAAACTTCGCTTCCTTGTCTTTTAACAGGAAGTTGCGATCCATTTAAAGTTCCACTAAAACGACAGTCAAATCTCATCTTTTTGATGTTTACTTTCCATTTCAAAGTATTGTCTGTTGTGAATAGACAAACAAGTGAGAAGCAAAACCGATATTGTTCTATAACTGAAAATTGTTGATATCATTTCCACCAAACCATGAATAAATGGCACATACCCAATACATTGCGCCTATTTTTACCAGGAAACGAAAACTGTAGAAACTTTAATTTTTGATCAGCTTTGCTGTGGTCAGTCTCACGGCAAGTAGTAGCACTGTTGTACTAAGGCGTTTTGGATATTAAAGAATAAATGCAAAAATTCAAACACTTGATCACTTCATTCATTCACCAAAACAAAGTTACGTTTATTTATGTAATTCTTAAAATAAACGGTTTCACTAAACAAGGTTCCTTACGTTTCCCTTGAACACGCTAATTATTGTTAAACAATATTCATTTAGTACCTCAAATTCTGCTACTTGCCGTGAGACTGACCTCTGAGAAAGAACTTAGATACTTTAATACAAAAAATGCAGGATAACATCTCTATTACTGGACAGTTCGTGCTATAATCAAATGGTCCTACAAAATTTAAATCAGAGGGTAGAAAATGTGCAATTAAAGAAGCAAAGAAATAAATAGTAACAGAATTTATCGCAAATAGTGGTAGCATTTTAACGAAAAGAAATCTGAATACAATTTATGAAGTTATGGTATTGGACACTTGTGTCTTACCGAAATTGTACAAATGTAAAATGCTTACACAAGTTTTGAATAATAAAAAAAGATATATTGGTTTTATAACCCCACTCCTATAATATCAGGACACTTAACAGTGGGAGACTAATAAAATAACGGAAACTCTTTGTAATTTTCTCAGTATACAACTTAATCTGTTATTTTAACATTTCTGCCAACTGATAAGAGTGTACTAACGAATAAAGACTATTTTATCGTTCAATTATGGCAACATCATAAACTTAACCATTAACTAGATAGTAACATCGTAATCACGATAGAAGAATGATTAAAAATTAGCTAAGTAAACAAATACGTTAATCATATTATTGTATAGTTATTAATGTCATTCAGAGGTGGAGTCACAGAGTACGTGATCTACACAGATTTATATAGATCTACGTGAAGTTAAACCAGATTATTATTATTTCTCCGTACTCACATCGCATAACTCCAATGCAAGAACAATGTACTCATTTATCATCTATACGAGTACGTTTGTGTTTTTATTTTTCATATTAAAGAACAAATTCAAAAATTCAAACACTTGATCACTTCATTCATTCACCAAAACAAAGTTACGTTTATTTATGTAATTCTTAAAATAAAAGGTTTCACTAAACAAGGTTCCTTGCATTTCCCTCGAACACGCTAATTATTATTAAACAATATTCATTTAGTACACCAGTGATACTACTTGCCGTGAGACTGACCAAAACGCCTTAGTACACCAGTGCTACTACTTGCCGTGAGACTGACCAAAACGACTTAGTACACCAGTGATACTACTTGCCGTGAGACTGACCAAAACGACTTAGTACAACAGTACCTGAAATGTTATAATTAAGGTTTTTCATGTGAACTGAGAAATTCTCCGTTTCTCTCACAAAATATTCAGCTCCTTATTCCTTCCTTTTCGTTAAAGTTCGGTTTTGTACTTCCCAGTAAAATTTTGTATTAATAACCACAAACATTCTTTAATTACATTGTTTATTGGACTTAGGATGTAAATTATGGGTACGTAAGGGTTATTCAGATCTTCTATTTACATTTGTTTTGTAAATTTCACGCTTTCTCTCTAATTTCTCAGAATTATAACTCAGTTTCCAGTGCTCGTACCGTTTGTTATTGCTTTACGATAGATTATTTTATTTTTTCATTATAGTGTAGATTGTTTCCGTGAGTTTCTTGTCGTTTGGCGGCCAGTTTCTATATGTTTTTTTTTCATCGTCATCATTTTTCTGACAGTTTTGTTTCAATTCAAATAATAATACCCTTTTTGCTGGTCTGTCTGAACATCAACTTGATTACAAGAAACATTAACTAAACGTAGAACATAAATTGTTACTGAGAACATCACAATTGTTACTGCACAATTACACCATTTCAAATATATATATATATATATATATATATATATAT